AGCTATGGAAAGGGGGTTTGGAAGGGAACGTTCATGAAAGTGCAGCAACACAATGAGATTTCTCCAGGTTAACGATTATAGAAGCAGGCACCTGCTTTCATCATCACACGTATCTCCAAAGACCCAAAATCAGCTTCTGCTGCAGCCAATGGCAAAACTCCCATTGAGGTCAGTGGGAGCACAAATCAAGCACCAAGTCTTTGCCAAACCCTTTTCAAAATACATGGTTGGCATCTACAACTAGAGCTGAGTGAATAACTGATTTTTTCGGTTCAGTGGCCAAACCAAAAAAAATCAAAAAAATAATTTGACTTGTTTCAAACCGAAAGTGAATTTTTCCAGTTTCTCTCAACAAAATGCAAAAACTCCCAAAATTTTGTTCAGGTCAAACAAAACATTTCAAAAATGTCATTTTAAATTGGCATTTTTTGTTTCAAAAATGGTGATTTGAAGTAACATTGCCCAAACACTTTGTTTCAACATTTCTGAATTGTTTGTTTTCGGGGGGAGGGGAGGGTTGGCCAAAACTATCAGCCAAATCGGACCACAATTTGTGAATAGTTTCCAAGCATCGAAAAAATATTGGCCAGTTCTATCTATGACAAATATCAGCTCAAACTTGCCAGCATTACTAATCAAACATTCTTTGCAGAAAAATCTTGTTTGTAACCTTGAGAGTTCACTGAAGAACTCAGTCCATCTATTTTTATTTCTAATCCAGATACTCGTCTCTTCTTCCTCTATTTCATCTCTTCTTTGCTCACTGCTTCAGTGGTTTGAAAAGGGAAAACTTCGGGTTTTTCACCTTGTCAAACAAGCCACAGCCTGGCACCCTGTCAAAAGAAGCTCAACACTGGATCAACATTCCATTCGAACTGTCTGAACACATCCTTCGTCTTTCCGGACTGTGAAGGTATATCCGACACACGGGCTGTGTTACAATGTGCTTTTCTCTTAAAAATTACCACTGTAGCACTACCAGCAATGCAGCTCCACCATTGTTAGAAACAGTGGTAGCTCTAAGGTCCCCTGTGTTTTCATTCCTGTGTCATGTGACCCTTTTTATAACACATCTAGATGATGTGGTAAAAACCATGGGAAAGGCATCTGTAAACTAGGTCCACTTGCCTGACCACTTCTCACTCGAGCACATCTGTGCTTTCTCTCACGCTGCCCATCTTTGCATTGGAAAAGCTCCCTGGTAAAATCACTGAAGCTGCCACCTCCCTGGCAAAATCCCTCCTCCAAAGCTAACTCTGCTGCAATGCCTACAATATTGCTGCCAGCTAGCACTGGCTGGGCAAGTGATGAGCTGTGGCTTCTCTTTTCCTGATCTGTTTTACTGTTCACTCTGACCTCATCCTCTCAACTCATCTCCACTCTGTTTGTCTGTTTCATCCAGATGACACAGCCCATCACGTACACACTGGGAGCTCTCCAGGTCAGAGGCTGCCTTCGTCGTTAGATGTCTGTACTGCACCTAGCACAATAAGGCCCAAATCCTTGACTGGAGCTCCTAGCCTTTCCATAAAAGAAACAAACAACAACTGGGGGGAAATTTAAGAAAAAGCCCAGTGAAGACAACACCGTGGTTTGTTGGTCTCCATCTTGAGAAAAAAACTGAGAGCTCCTAATTAAGACTCTTGCGTCTTCAGTACAGCCATAATTCACATTGCATTATACAGATGCAAATTACAAGCTGTGAGAGGTGAACATTATAAGAATACAGAAAAGGATATATAAAGATTCATAACTCAATTTACAATGAACATGAAAAGCCAGATTCTGACAAAATACATGAATAAGGGTATCACAATTTGGCCCTACCATCTGAGTCTATTAAAGACACACCAAAATCAACCACCTATGGAGAACATTCAACAGAATTCTGCCTTTAGTGAATCAGAATACAAATATACACGTTTTAAAAGCTACAGTGTGGTAGGATGCAACTATTGACAAATCCTGACACAGCAGAAATGGACAACTGCTACAGTGACTCCTCATGTAAAGTCGTCCCAGTTAACGTTGTTTTGTTGTTACGTTGCTGATCTATTAGGGAACATGACCATTTAAAGTTGCGCAATGCTCCCTTATAATGTTGTTTGGCAGCCGCCTGCTTTGTCCACTGCTT